AATACATTATATAATATAGTGATGACTGAGGTTTGCAATTTTTTACAGGCTGAAATGCCAAAGCAAAACATAAATATTTTAGAAAATGTATTTCTTGGTGTAACAGTATGCATGTAATGCATGCATTTATCCAATGGCAAATATAATGTATATTTTCCTTTAGTACTTCAATCAGCAGATGTCACAAACGGATAAAACTCTACCTGTTATAGTTGCTTCGGTGACCGCCACCACTAAGCTGTTTTCAATCCTGCAGCTGTAGCTCTCGTTGACCCGTGCTGACGGCAGCTTGCTCAGGACACGGTATCTTTCAGCTGATACTTCTGTGAAACTTGTGCTTGCATTCAGTTTATCCCCAGTTTGGTTCAGCCATGTGACGTCAGGTTTAGGGAACCAGCTGCTCGCCTTGGAGGTCAAGGTGTTTTCTGAGAACTCCAGTGTTGGGGCCGAAAACACTGCAACAAAAATAAAGATATTTATTTAGCACCACATTTTCTCAAGAATCTTTTCAGAGGAAAACTGGAAGGACGAGTCTTTGTACCTGCAGTTCGGAGCTGGATGGTGACGTTGCCTTGGCCCACAGAGGAGCTAATGCTGCAGGTGTACTCTCCTTCATCACTACTTCTCACACCCTGCAGCAGCAGAAAGGCATTACCTGTGGCTACAGCATCAGGGAAGACCTGAGCTCTGCCTTTGAACTGGGGATGTTGTTTATCCAGAGCAGGAGCTCCATTCTCGTAGCGATAAACTAGTCCTAGGCGGCTGTTCTCCCAGATGACCAACACCTCTCTCAAGCTGTTTGCTTCAATTTCTGCATCAATGTAGCAGCTGAGAATCTGGTCCTTACCCAGGTTTGCGACAGGTTTGGTGTTACTGCTCACCACCTTGACTGTGGTTTCTGCGGAGAGCAACTTGGGTTCATAATACATACAGTATTGTTTGTTTTCACTTCCAAATGTTTTCAACATGAGACAAAAATACACCTGAAACACCTGAAAGTTAGTGTAGTGCTTCACTTTGCAGGGAAACACATAAAAATAGTGCAGTAAAAAAAATAAATAAAAGGGACTACAAGCACACAGATGTATATACTGCTGTCTCTCCTTATTTTATTTCCTCTTAAGTTTTCAATTAACACAAATGTTTACTGAAACAATCAGTTACCTCAACATTTTAAAGTTAGTAAACTTCAAATCACAATTTATGTGAATTTTTTTAAATCCAGTTCTTCTCTTTTTTCATTATTTCAACTCAAAACATTTAATTTTCTACTATTTAAAGCTTTTAGTTACATTAACTAAAATTTTCATGTTTTATTTTCTCTTCACTCCAAAGGCTACAACATCTAGTTACTATTAATAAACCATTTGCTAACATAGCTATACCCTGTTGGTTTTGTAATAACTAGTTGTGGGCAGATGAATCCAAATTGACAGTAATATAGACACCAAGGTGTCAATTCAATTTAAATTCAGTTCTGTTTATTTATTATAAAGCACATAATCTCACTAGCCTCGTGAGACCATCCTGATCTCGCGAGCAAATCCATCTGGCGGAGTCAGGTTATAATCTCACAGCACTTTACAGAGTGATACTGAAAGATTGGTTTGGCAATCTAGTTAATTGCATCCAGTCATGCCAGACATGTCTTTGGTTTAATATTTTTATTTTTTACGTCAGAATAATCCAGGAAGTACCTGCACTCGTCTGGTGTAGTAGTTGTACTCTCTTAGCTCTCTATCTAAAAACAGATTCTGTTTCGATTCCCCTTAAATATGTTTTGAAATTTGTTAATGAAAATAAATGTAAAAATGTTTGTTCTGTTGTCTTTGTTTTTCATATTAATATCATGTTAACAAAGTGGTCCAAATGCTGCACAAAGTTAAAACCACCAAAATGTTAAAGGTCTGTATGATGTGAAATTTACACAATAAAAGGTATCAATATTAACATTGATATTAGCAGTACTTGCTCTCTACTTTTGGGTATGACATCGATACCTTAATAAGCAAAATCACATGCAGTTTGTTAGAAAACTAAGAAGCTGTTTGCATAATGTTTTTATTGACTGGAACAAACCTGTTATCCAGCAGCATCGAAAAATGTCCAATTAAGTCCAACGTCACCCGCGGTGGTGCAGCAATAGCCCCACCCATTGACAACTAGTCAGCCAGTTATCAAAATCTGCATAGTTACTTACTTATTACCATAAATTTGTTATCTATTTAGTTATTTAAGTCTTGCTTAGTTAATACAGCAATGATTAAAATTAACCAAAGATTTGAGTTCTATGCACCAAAAAAACAACAATGTGTTACACTAATTCAGCACAATTCAGTTAGACATTTGGCAAAGTAATGAATTTCAACTACTCAGTCTAACTTTTATAGATATGATTTGAGCAAATAAGGACTTTTATTTAAGTAAAAGTCCGTATTTAATGATCAGTCTTGGCCAATAACATTGATTCTGATGTTCTGGACTTGAATCCAGTTGAGCTTCAGTAGAATGACCTTAAACTAGTTCTAGATTCCTAGAAAAATTGCAGTTTGGCTGAATAATTGTTGTACTTGATTAGATCATCTTTATATAAATGTTGAAATATTTTCTATGATATGATAGAAAAACTAATTCAAAAACAGGAATCACAAATACTTGTTGCTTTTTTTGGTACCCAGTTTGCTTTGTAAAATAACAAACCCATTCAGATCAGTTGATCAGCATCTGTAAACATACATTTCCAAATTTGTTACAGATCCTCTATTGGACATAACTAAGGGGTTTGATTGGAACTTTTGGTGGTTAAATCAACCCATCTAGATCAGGCTGTAAGATCTAGATCTAGATCAGGCTGTAAGATCTAGATCTAGATCAGGCTGTAAGATCTAGATCTAGATCAGGCTGTAAGATCAGGTGAAAAGTGACTAGTCTCCTCCATTTTCCTTCACAAAATAAGAATTCTCCCTTAACCCCTTAAAGGAATAGTACACCCAAAACATGATTAGCCTTCATTTTCTACTCACCCCCATGCTGAACAACACTCTGGAGTACTTTTTTGATATCTC